CGGGCGTGCCCTTCCTGATCGGCCTACTCGATGATCCTGGTGTTAACTCGTTCGAGGATGACACCACATTCAAACGCGTCTAGGGTGATCTGAACGAGTGGGAGGTTGCTATATACCTGAAGGCTGTACAACGCGGTAAGCTGTTCGCTTTCCAACCGGTCCGAGCCTCAGAATATTCCAACAGCTGCCACCGTCGTTCGAGCGTACGTAACCCGGAGCACCGCCGATTATTTCGAGATTCTGTTCGACGAGGTGCAACGTATCAAGTTCGATATCACTGGCTCATTTTTGCGTTTGAAAGCGTTCGTGCGGGACGGTAATTTACTCGCAATGATCGCAGATATGGAAGCAGCCCAAGTTCTCGGCGCCGCGCGTTCCGCCATGAAGCACAACGACCCCGAGTACTCGGGCATCCCAAACAATACGCCCGCGTCTGTGGCTGCTACTTCGTTTGTCAAGATCTGTTTCCGACACACACTAGAGTGAGTATTTGTTCAGTCACAGCATTTATACGATACTGATACAATTTCGAGGGCTATTCACGACTTCGAATCGCTGGTGACGCCGGACCAGTATGCCCGGCTCAAGAATTTCCTGTATATTACCTCCAAAGAGGAGCTCGCCGAGTTCGACGAATTTGTACGTGGTCTTTGCATCAAAAAAATACAAGGTTTGCGCTCGTTGCAGGGTGATGCCTGGCTGACACCGAGAGTTTGCAGATTGGTGGGACCACAAGGAGATGAGCGACTGGATCATCCCCTGTCTCGTAAAATCACAGTCCCTCATCCCCGCCGAGGACTGGGAAGCTACACCCGCGACAACGAACACCGGCGAATCACAGCACGCCTGGACGAATTCGCTCAACGGAATCAAACTAACTCCGGTCGAGGCCATCGAAAGGTATGTCTCATCCGTCGTTTAGAGGTTTTAGACAGCCTAACTCATTGAATAAGCGCACGGAAGCTCGATGAAACCGTGGCCCGCGAGATCCAGGCGTCCATGAACACCGGGATCATTGCAAACAATCAGAACGACGCCTACCATCGGACGGGGCGCAATTTACAGCGCTCATCGAAGGCAGCGCAGAAGGTTCGTGACTCCCACGAGCTCACCGACCTTTCAAAGGGCATCGCCGCCGAGATCGCCGATTTGAAGGAGATCCGGCGCCAGTCATCGGCCAAGGAGAAGGCCCTGCGTGAGCAGCTCAAGGCGGCAAAGCCTGCCAAGCGCGGTTCAGTTGCGAGCGTCGCCAGCGGCAACCGCTCCGTGGTTGTCTCCACTAGTTCCACCGGCCGCGTCAAAACGGCGACGCCCATATTCGGTACGCTCTCCCAGCATTTCGTTTCGCTGAATAGTTCACAATATTTTTTCAGTGCTTGATTCCCCCCTCACGTCGCCTGCTTTGCCATCGTCCGCAGTCCCGTCGCCGGCGTTGCCGGCCCCCGATTCCCCTGCACGCACCTCCTTTGCACCTCTGGAGTTCTCCCCCGGTGAGTTCAACGCGGCGGATTTCGACGCGTGGTTAGCCTCTTCGGCCGCCGGGGGTGCAATGCCCGACATTCCAATGCCTTCAGTTCGAACGCCATACGCTGCCGCACCATACTTATCCGACTATGAGAACTACGACTATGGTCCTGTCAACTCAACCTCCGACCTCCCGTTACAGCTCGACTACGATGCCTTTTGCAACGGCTGGGGCCCGGGAACGATGGAGGAGTTATTCAACTCCGAGTTCCTCCTCAATTCGGGTGCGGATGGCGCAGGGCTCCCGTACGGACAAGATATGAGCTATAATCAGCTCCCGACGCTTCCCGCCCCCGTGTCGCCATCCGAGTCCTCCGCCCTGTCGCCGCCTCCGATCGCAAGCTCCAGTACTGGTCAGAAACGGCCCCGCCAGGAGGTTGACGAAGCCAACATCATTCGTACCTCTCGCGTGCGAACGAAGTCAGCGAAGCAGAAGTCGACAGAATCCAGCGCTGCCCCGCGGTCGAAGCGGGCCAAGACGACCAAGGTATTCCTTTATTATTTATGTCATTCACATTCAATGTATTCACGCGCATTTTCAGTGAAAGCTCTTTACGACATTTTTACATTTTCACTTAGCTAATAAATCGATTGACTTGTTATCTTTGACTGACACTGGTCACACTGAGACGGGGAAACTCCCAATGTACGGCACATCGCAGCATGTACGGTACATATCTTCGTTGCCGTTGGAGAAGCTATGTACGACACTTCGGATATATGTGCCGCACATTAAATCTATGTGCCGCGCATCATTTCTATGTGCGCACTCTGTTTTGTCTATCCTCTCCAAATTCTGATACCTGGGACAATAATGTCAGAGCTTCACTGAAACTGGTCTAAAAAGTTGCCGGCCGCCGACTCGCCCGACCAGTCGCACTAGGACTGCACAACGTCCCGTCCACGGAGCTGGCCGTAAATGTGTGGGCACCAGACGGGTACGGCCATCTTTGAATTTTATACTCGCGTGGTCCACAGCCTGAACTATGAGTTTACCAAAGACACATCGTCTGCTGCGAATGGGGATTTTTCTGTAGATACAGTATATCGTTCAAGAAAAGGAATGGCTAACAGCTTGATATAAGAATACAGTTGGATTTGTCATAATGCATAAGGTTGGTGGACCCTCAAACCCTATGCATTATGAGCCATATGCATTGCGAGATTTTGTCACATTGTGCGACTCTCAGTGACAGCGTGACAGGATCGTGACTTTCCAAGAAAATACTGATTTGTACGGTATATACAGCTTTCACGGTCAAGAATCAGTTCTTTTTGACGCCCCAGCTCTCCTCCAAGGTCATCTGTCTCGCATTCAGCTGCTCCTCGCGCTGAACATAACCGCGACGCAAAGACCGTAAGCCAGTCATGAAGCGTGAGATTCTTTCTTCGCGTATCTATCGCCGGTTTTGCCGAAGTGCGAGGCACGTCTTTAGCTGGTTTCGGTTTCCGTGCAGCCCGCTGGAATGGAGTAGACGGTGCCACTCGAGGTTTGCGTGTCTTCTCAGCAGGCATCTCGTCGAGGCAGAAAGCTGTAAGAAATTTGACACATTTACTTCGGACGCTGATCGCAAACAATGTATTCCCACGGCGTGAACACGATCGCGACAGCGTGATCGCGTTAGCGGCGAACCAAAATCCATTGGGGCTAAGGAAACAGGCACTATTAGTGTCCCTAAAGTCATCATTACCCTCTTCTCGAGTCCCAAAAAATGCATAACGGACCTCGAAAGCTGATGCACTATGCATTATCATCAAATTGCATAAAATCCCCGCCCACCAACTCGGTGGACGCCCAAACCCTATGCATTATGAGCATTATGCATTCCGACCTAATGCACTATGACAAATCCGACTGTAGTATGAAAAAACCGTCAATTCCTCAACGCCAGTCACTTTAGACTCAGAGGGAAGAGCCTGCATTTTTGAACAACTCCCGTGGGTTGATACATCTCCGAGAACCCCGAACTCACTTTGTATGCAGGACTCTGGGTTCGAAAAGATAACTTGAGGCCATAGAGTGCTTGCTGCTTCAGAGAGGTGTGATGTTGCACCTAAAAACCCCTGTAACAGTTGGAATTGCCAGGTAGCCGCCATCGGACAATGGGGATAGACGGAATGGAAGACGGGCAACTCATACTTGCCCTGTAATTTTTCATGTGGATCGTGCTGACGGCGCGGGACGGCGTCTGGGCCCCTCACACCTGCAAAGATGGTGGTGGTGTGCAGCCCTAAGTCGTGCCACCGGCAGCATCAAGCGGGTCGGTAACTGCCGGCCGGTGAACATGGACACAGCAGCGTAGTGCTGACGGCTGTTTTCTGTCTTTGAAAGTGAACCAATGTGAGTTTTGAGATAGGAGAAATTCCTGTAGCCCATTAGAGAAACAGGCCTCATATTTCCACACCGGCATCTTCTTCGATAAAATCATGCCGCTGGTTTCTCCGAGCTTTGCCGCGAAGCCTCGGCAAAGTCGGCAGCGGGTCGGCTGGACTGTTGATCACATATATCTCTGATGCGGGCCATTCCGGGCGTGCCGCGGTGCTCTGCTGTTACCCATCAATTCTTTTAGGTGCGCGATTAAGTCTGAAATTATTCAAGTGGTGTACAATCAGCGACCGTTGAGACAAGGCCCTAAACCTCAGCTTTTGTGACTCCTCAAAGTCAAAATACAGTATTCAAGCCGTAGCAACAATTGCCGAGGATTATTGAAATCTCGTAAATAGGCATTTGCACTCTCAATAGTGTGTGGGGCTTCTCCAAGTGCACTGTGAGTGTTTAAATGTGGGATGTGTTTTCGAAGTTCTCCATCGTTTTCTCAAGTGCATGGTGCTTGTCATTTCCAATGAAAAACTCGGCATGATTAAACTTAGACTGGCGAAGAGTAAGAATGGACTTATAGCCCTCATCATGCTTGCGTAGATCAACGCTAAATCACCTCTGTGTTATCTTTCTGTGGAACAACATTTATGGAGGAGGTATAGGTTTGACTCCCCCGCAGCCATTGTCTTTTTTCCTTGTTTTAGTGGGGTACATGTACCCGGCTTTCATATTTTGTTTTTTGGTGGGGCTGCAATGACGATGAGGGGATAAAGAAGGATTGACTGGGCCTTATTGTTTCTCTAGGAGGTCCGCTGCGCGAACGGACGGACTTTCGGTGACGGTGAAGCCACTATGATATGACGATCAGGAAGGACATTCCAGTTAATGTCCGCGTAGATCAATGGTAGATCGACCTATGACTTGACTCGGCATCGCAGATTTACAGAGGAGGCGTGGGCTCGACTCCCACCGCGGGCACTCTCCATCCAGGACTGTTCCTTTTTTCGCCTTCCTTGTCTTGAGCCGTCCGTGGTCTCTGCTCAATTCAATTGTGTGGTCTATGTAAAAGCCAGTAACCTGTTCGAATGAGATTGAAGTTTGAATAGGCGGGGAGTCAGAACACTGTTCCTCTCATAACTATACGCCATGCTTGGCAGCTTGTGTAGATCAGCGGTAGATCGCTATATTCAACTTGCAGAGGAGGCGTGGGTTCGACTCCCACCGCAGGCATTGACACCTAGTCTCCTTTTCATTTCTTGTTCCTCTTACTCGTTATGAGCACACACTCGTCCCAAGTCATCCCTTACTCCCGAGCCATAACTTTGACAATAGCCCATCGTCGCAAACGCGAATGTAAATGTGAATGGAGGCCGTTCTAGCGCTATCGTACAACACCGTAGGGAAACTGGATTGGGACTGGGGAGAGGTATGTATGTATGGGTGTACGCGCGGGCGTCGCGGGCAAGCGGCGCTAGTCTGAGAAGAGGGAGCCCTCGGGGGGCTGGGGGAGCTTGCGGTTCGCGGCGGAGGCCATTTCTCTGCGGGGTGGGATGGTTAATCAGCTCTGATTTCTAGATCAACGCAAACACGGCACGGACTTGCGGATCTCGACGAGGACGTGCTCGAGGCTGCTAGCGCGCGTCCAGGACGCGAGGACGTGGAGGCGCGCGGGGTCGACGGTGCCGTTTGCGGAGACGAAGGGAAGGTTTACGCGCGAGAGGAACTGGACGAGGGGCGGGGCGTCGGGGTAGGACTCGGAGCAGGTGATCTTGAGGGAGTAGATGCGGTTCTCGTGCACCGTCTGCGGTGCGCGCGGTTAGCGGATATTGAAGGAGGGGAGGTATGGGAGGCACGCACATGGCCGGGGCCGATGATGGTGCCGTTCCAGTTGCTCATCATGATGTCGTCGCCGTCCTCGAGGCCGTAGGAGCACGAGCCGTCGCCGATGCCCTTCTCGCCCTTCTCGAGCTCCTCCAGCAGCCGGAAGTTGCGCGGGACTGCGCACGCCACACCGTATCACAGATCGGACATCGCGCACAGACAAAGACACATCGCAGACACGGGGAGAAAGGAGAAGAGAAGGACGTGAGCGCTGGCTGCGGTCAGGGACGCGAGTACGCACCCTTGGCGGCCATTGTGGAGATGGGATGCAGATGAGAGATGGATTAGATGGGCTGTGTGGTTAGGGTTACTGTCACGGTAACGCCAGACCAGCAGCAGCCACAGCCCGCCGCAGCGAGCAGCAGCAGTTGTTGCTTTCCTTCCTTCCACCATGTTCGGCGGCGCCTCTATAAATCCCTACGATGAGATCGTCGGTGCGTTCTTCTCGTTGCCCGTTTACTGACTCGCCCCATTCATACCTACTCGCACGCAGTCAAGACGACCGACGAGAACCTGACCTCGGAGAACTGGGAGCTGATCCTGAACCTCTGCGACAAGGTGCAGGACGAGGGCCCCGCGGGCGCGCATGGCGTCGTCGCCGCGCTGCTCAAGCGCCTCGCGCACCGCAACCCGAACGTGCAGCTCTACACCCTCAGTCTCGCCGAGGCGCTCTCGAAGAACTGCTCCATTGAGCTCCACCGCGAGCTGGCGTCGCGCGCGTGGACCGCCGGGCTCGAGCGCGTTATTACGGACCGGGTGAGTGCGTCATTTTTGGTGTGTGGGTGGGTTTCGATGGGCGGGTGGGAGCGGGGTGGGGCTGGGTGGTGATGGGTGCGGTTCGGGCTCGGAGTGCTGTGGCGCGGGATTGGGTGGATGCCGTCCCCAGGCCCGGCGGGCTTATGGGAGCGTGGCCGACCGCACGCATATCCCGCTTCCCGCCCATTTGATTTGGCACTAGGGCGGGGCCCCTTATCCTGGCGCCTGCGCATCGTTGGGGTGGGGATGCAGCGTCAAATTCGGATTCGGATTATTCGGACTGCACGACTCCATTCGATCCGGTGCGGCCCCGCGCCCGTCTAACTCCGTCTTCATCTCATCATTCCCGCCTTCATATATTTATTTCATTTACCTTCCTCCAACCCTGCTAACCCCCCACCCCCCAGAACACGCACGAAAAAGTGCGCACGCGCGCGCTCGCGCTCGTCGCGATGTGGACCGCCGAGTTCGCGGACGACAGCACGCTCGGCGTCATGGCCGAGTGCTATGAGAGTCTCAAGGCGAAGAGTGCGTTTCTTGCCTTTTTGGACTTTGGGGTTTTTGGGCGCGGGGTTTTTGGAGTGGGGTTTCTTTGGAGCCGGGCGTCGCAACGCACCTGTTCTTAAGATTCGTTTCAGAATCACGAATCGATCTCTCGGCCCCCATCCCTGTCCCATGGACGTCCTGCTGCCTCGACTCCGCTTCCGCTCCTTCTGCGGCTTTCCTTTCCTTTCCTTTCGTCCCCGCCCGCGCTTTCCTTTCCTTCACCACGCCTTTCCTTCCCTTTCCGTCCCCGTCCCCTCATTTCCGCGCTCCGTCCTTTGTTTTATTTTACTTCGCGCCGGGTCCTCGCGTACCTACGCTTGTTCCTGGGCGGGGTGCGGCGGACGTGCAGTTTGGCATCTGCACCCGGGCACATTTCTCGGATTCGGATACCACCTGCCTTTCCGCGTTCCCCTGGCTTATCCGCGCCATTACGATCTCGCTTTCGCTGTACCCTCGCTCGTCCGCGCCCTGCGCCCTGCTTCCTGCTTCCGCTCCTTGCTCTTTCATTCCCGTTTTCCCTCCGCCCTACTTCCCCTCTTCTCTATCTCCGCTTTACGCTCCGTTCGTTGGCTCCTGCCCTTTCTTTCCCTTCCTCTTCCTCCCCCTCCCCCGCCCCTTCTTATCCGCTAACCACCCACCCAGACTACAAATACACCGCGCCCGACACGCCCCCGCCGCCCGCCGTCGACGACGCGATCCGCCGCGCCGAGGAGGAGGAGCTGCAGCGCGTGCTCGAGATGAGCGTGCGCGACCGCGGGGGGCGCGCCGCGTGGGGCGGCGGCGGCGGCGGGTACGATGCTGGCAGTGGCACTGCTGCTTCCACGGCGGCGGGGGGCTCGTCGTCGGCTGCAGCTGGGGCGGCGCCGGGGTACGAGAGCGGCAGTGGAGGAGGAGGAGGCGGGTACGATGCGTACGGAGTAGGGGCGAGCAACGGCGTGGGGTCGTCCTCGGGGGCGGGGGGGAGTGCGGGGTACGGTGGGGGCGGGAGCGGGGGGTACGTGCCTGCGGCGGCGGCGGGGCAGCGCGAGCGGACGCCGAGCCCGGCGCCCGCTGCGGGTGGTGCGGGGGCCGGGACCGGGGCTGGGGCTGGTACGTCTTCCTTTCCCTCCTCGTCCCATCCCCCACCTCCACGCCACTAAACGACTAACTAACACGCACGCAGACATGTCCGGCATCGTCACGCGCGTGCGCGCGCTGCACCCGTTCACGCCGACGGAGGCGGGCGAGCTGGGCTTCGACAAGGGCGACGTGATCAAGGTCGTCGACCGCGGGTACCGCGACTGGTGGCGCGGCCAGCTGCGCGGCCGGACGGGGATCTTCCCGGTTAATTACGTGGTGCGTTGCGCGTTTTTTCCCCCTTCCCCCGATTTCCCCCCATCCCTGCCTCGTTTTTGTTTTTCCTTCCCTTCCCCGATGTGTTTCCTCCTCCCCCTCGTCTTTTTTTCTCACCCGACTGCGTGCCTTCCTCCCATTGCTTGCCTTCCTCTCCTCGTTTCTCCTTTTTTCCCCGCCTCGTTTTCGTTTTCGTTTTGCGGCGACTGTGCTTTTATGGCGCCTCTGCGGTTTGCGGCGGTCCTGTGCTTTTACGGCGGTTCTGCGCTTTGCGGTGATCCCCCCTATTCAGGCGCTGGGGCTGTGTTCCACGCGGCTGCCGTCCTGGGGTTCTGGGTCCACGGGGCTGTGTTCCGTTTGTTTTCTTCCTTTTATGGCGATGGGCGCTGCGGGCTCCCGACTTTGCGGTGCGATGCCCTGTAGATCGTTTCGTTTCGGGTTTCTCCTTTGGGCGCGCCCCGGTACCGCTACCCTGCTCCCGTGCTTTATTTATTTCTTTAACGAGCCCCACGCCTTGTCTGCGCTTTTCTTCTTCCTGCACCTCTTTCCCTCCTCGTACCGCACCGCACCACACCGTACGATGCACCCGTCCGCGCTCCTGCCCTCGCGGCCCTCGGGCTCTTCCTCTTCTTCCTCGTTTTCCTCCGCGTCCGCGTCGGCGTTTTCGTCTGCCTCCTTGTTTTCGGCCCCGTCGACGTCGGTGTCCGCATCCTCCTACCTCCCCCCGGTACTGGCGCTGCCGCCGATGTTCCCGGTCCCGGAGCCCGCGCCCGCGCCGCCCTTCCTCGGCGTCGCGCTCGCCCCGACGCGCCCGCTGTCGCTCCGGCCGCGCGCGCGCGCGGGCGCGGACGGCGCCGGGCCTTCGACGGCTGCGGCTACGTCCAAAGCCGAGGTTCCCTCCGCGTCCGCGTCCACGTCCAAAGCCGGGACGAGCACGGACGAGAGAACGGGCAGCATACCCCCACCCCCGCCCCCCTCGCTGTTCCCCGCGCGCCCCGCGTCCTCCGTCGTGCACTCGCGCTCTTCCTCCTCTTCGTCGTCGTCGTTTTCTTTTTCGCTGGCCGAGGACGGCTCGATACGCACCCGGACGCCGCCGGGCCAGGCCCAATCCTCCTCTTCGTCTTCGTCTTCGTCTTTACCCTTACCCAAATCCTCTTCCTCCTCCCCACCCTCCTCTGCACCCTCCACATCCTCTTTGCCCTCCACACCCTCCCCTTCCGAAGCAACACCACCCCGACCCTCCGCTAACGCGCCCCCTCTCCCCCAGGAACCGCTCCCGGAGCCGACGCCGGGCGAGCTCGCGGCGGAGGCGTCCGCGGAGGCGGCGGTGTTCGCGCAGGCGGCGGACGTGGAAAAGCTGCTGAATATGCTGCGCGCGCTGGACCCGAGCAAGGGGGATAATCTGGCGGATGATGAGGAGATTCAGGTGCGTTTCTTTTCTTGGTTTTTGTTTGTTTGGGGGGTTTGCCGGCGACCCGAGTGTGGCTCGAGGTGCCGCGGACACGGCTCATGACGCTGCTGCCCGACGGGGTGCTTCCTTGTTGCCTGGCACAAGGAGCATGGGGCAGAGTCCGGCGCCGTCGAGTGGAGCGGCGTGTAGAGGGAAACGAAAGCTGACGCGTGTGGACAGGAACTCTACCGCTCGAGCATGGCGCTGCGGCCGAAGATCGTGAAGCTGATTGACAAGTACAGCCAGAAGCGGGGTGCGTTTTCCT